CAGAAGGCTGAAAATATACAGTAACATATTTGGGGAATGGGTTACGAATTACAAATAATATGCAAGTGACACAAATAAGACATATAATAACTTAGATGGGGATCAGCTCAAACTACAGTTCATTTCAACATAGTGACAGTGTAGGGAGCAGTGTTTACTGGGAGTGAATACACTGATTTATTACATGTTATTGATAATTTTACAATGGTTGGGACTGGGCTGTTCTTATAGCGATCAGTTCGTGCACGTATGGGCTGGATGCGGTTGTGGTGTCGAACAGCAATTCTCGGACAGGGGATCTCAGGTGGTAGTAGGGGCCGGTGTCGGGGGTGGTGTAGAAGCTTCTTACCAAATTTGCAGATGAGGCCGTGGTGATGGTCAGTGAGAGTCGAAAGGGTCAGTGTGTTGAGCGCTTCTTGATATGTGGAGTAGGAAGGGGAGAGAATAATCTTGCATGCCCTCTTTTGCACTTTTTCTAGGTGTTTACGTTGTGTGGCATTTAGGGAGGAAGACCAGGTGGGGGAGGCATAGGTGAGCTTGGGAAGTATGAATGTTGTGTATACACTGAGGAGCTCGTGTGCGGGAACTCCGAGGGACTTGAGTCGGCGGAGGAGGTGGAGACGGAAACTGGAGGATTTGACAACTTCACTGACGTGTGGTTTCCAATTTAGTTTGTTGTCTATGGTGACGCCGAGGAGCTTCGTGGAATCTACAACCTGGAGTGTGTTCGGACCAAAAATGGAAGGAGGTGGGACAATGTCGGAGGAGGGTTGATGTGCATAACCATGGTCTTGGTATGGTTGATGGTGACATGGTTGTTGGTGGCCCAGTTTTGGAGACTGTTCAATAAATCCTGGAGGGCGGTATAGTTGGGAGCAGAATTGTTGACGCTGATCCCAATGGTGGAGTCGTCGACATATTTCCAGCGAGCAGGGTTTCCTCTTAGGGCATCATTGATGAGCATAAGGAAGCAGAGTGGTCCCATCTTGGTGCCTTGGGGGACGCCACAGGTGAGTGACTGAAAGGTGGAGACAGCCCCTCGGAAGCGTACAGCTTGGCGTCGGTCACTGAGGAAGTCTGTAAGCCATGGTATGAGACTTCTCCGAAGCCCGAGGTCAATAGCTTTGTTTATGATTATATTGTGGTCGACTAGGTCGAATGCTTTAGTGAAATCAATGAAGGCGACAGCTACAGACGTTTTTCGTTTCTCGAGATGGCGGTATATGTAATCGAGAGAAAGCTGACAAGACAGTGAGTGGTGGAGGAAGTTTTCATGTTGCCAAATTGCTGTGTGTGTGTGTGTGTGTGTGTGTGTGTGTGTGTGTGTGTGTGTGTGTGTAGACTGCCAAAGCAGCTACTTTACAGTCACCTAACTAACTGTAAGCATAACGCTGGCGGCCAACTGAAAAGGTATAAGGACAGTCTTAAGACAAACCCGAAAAAGTACCAAATCGACCCCCTCACCTGGGAGACGATCACTCCACACCGTAACACTTGGAGGAACACCACACAAGGTGTCAATATTTTCGAGTTAGTCCAACTGCATACCGAGGCAGACAAACGCCAACGCCGGAAAGACTCAGCTGCCGCCCCTCCCGCACTAGCTGTAGTCCTCCACATGCGCAACATCTGTGAACAACACTGCCGATCCCGTATCGGCCTCTTTAGTCACCTCAGAGCTCACCAATGAAGGTGACATCCCTAATAACTCATATCAGTGTATCATAGCTGGATGATCGTCATATTCGGCATTTTTTCTAGGTGAAAGATAATAGAGTAGTAATGAGCGTATATTTATTTATATTATATTAATTTATTAAATACTTATATATATGTGTGTGTTCGAACACGTTCGGTTATATTCATAAACGGGAAATATTGGAGTTGAAGGACTGGCATCACTGTGGGGGTCAGGCTCCTCAGAACCTGGCGGGTGTGTTGTACAGGGTGTTGGGAGCCTGAACTGAGGCCTGAGCCTCTGGCACCCCGTAGGCTGTTGACAGTGACAAGTCGGAGGCGGAGCCGAAGATGTCCTCAGGCACTTTGCCGATCTCAGCGTTGAGGCCGAAGAACTGTTGTGAGGCGGCACAGTCCACGTTGAACCACCAGTCACACACGAAGTACTGCTGGTTGAAGATGGTGCCGTTGGGACACAGGAAGGAGTCCTGGCGGCCGTCGAACTGACAGATGTGGAAGACCTGGCAGCCGGCCTCGTCGGCGGTGTCAGCGAAGTAACCTGGGAACTCCTGTTGCTCGCAGGAGAAGCCGGTGTCGGGTACAGAGGCCAGGATCGGGTAGTCTTCACCAGGGACGCCGCCGCCGGGGATGAGGGCGGCCAGGGCGGCTATGGGGTCTTCTACAGCCTCGTCCAAGGAGGAGGCAGACCCCTGCAGATCACCATAGGAGTATCCACCATTGGGAGCACCATAGCCGGTGGAGGGGGCGCCGCCGTTGAGGCGGGCGGCGTTGACTGCTGCCACTGTAACAATATTAGTGTTAAAACATGTGTCTGTACTAACTCTCTACAGAGAAACTTTTCCTGGATATCAATAACTAGAGAATAATTATCATCAATATCTAAATTCCACAACCTTATAAAAGTGTGCACGATAAACTATGGCTGTCACGTGAGTGATGACGTCATACCCAGGAGGAGGAGGAAGATGGGGTTCATGTTGGTGAGGAAGCTGGAGGTTGTGTGATGATGAGCTCAGGTCCTCCTGCTATATATACAGCGCCGAGCACTGACACACGCCAGGGAAAGGCCGGAGGCGAGGTCACCCTGGCAGGATGAGGTCATCTCTCACGGCCCAACACGGTCAATACCAGACGTGCAGCGGCCATAGTAATCTGACAATGATGAAATGGTGTTATTTATATCTAGTTTCATCTTGTCAGCCACATTAATTCCTGTACACGTGTCTCATACAACACAGGTTATTAACTGCCTCAGTCTTCTAGACACCATTAAGTGTGGTCGACCCATTATTAATAAACGTGTCGTAACTACAGTACAGCCAGTGAAGTTTATTTGTGACTGGCGCTAAAGTTTTATACAATTTACCTAACCTAACCTAACCTAACCTAACCAAATAAAGGGATATAAAGTGTTGATAAATTAACTAAAGCATCACTTGTCTTGGTCAGTTTTTTCGTGATGTAGTGGTGTAGGTCTACTGATGTAGTGGTGTAGATGTGTAGGTGTAATGGTGTAGAAGTAGTGGTGTTGGTGTAGCGGCATAATGGTGTACCTATAGTGGTGTTGATGTAGTGTTGCATAGTATTACCCTGGCCTCAACTTCTACACCTTAATTAAACCAACCCCTTCCACAGGTAACCTCAAGATCGACTATCATTCACCTGTGTACCATAAGAGGCAGATAATATACTAATTAACTTCATTATGACATAAATTAATTACCATTATTATGATATTAATTGCTTATAAACACATATTTCATATATATTTTAATTAACGTAACCTAATCGAATATAACCTAACCTAACCCAGTCCACCAGAGGGCCAGAGTGTCTAGTGATTAATATGTGTGTGAATGTTAAGGTAGAATGATCAATGGTTAAAATATTAATGAGACAAAGTTAATATTTTGTTATTAACTTAGAAATATTGTAAGTTAGTGATGTGTGTTAAGTGTAAGATGTAAGTCGTCCCGTGTGTGTGTGTGTGTGTGTGTGTGTGTGTGTGTGTGTATGTGTGTGTGTGTGTGTGTTTAGTCTTTCTTGTTCGAACACTTATGATAAAAATCCCTTCAAAATGACATATAAACCCTTTACATTCTAATATATTTCACGTAACTAAGAAATTACAGCCAACTAGTTAATAACAACACTTAACAACCATCCTAAGCGTCGCTGGTTTGATTCAAAGTAGAGTTCAAACCAACCAGCTGTTAATGGCACCTGACTTTACAAATGAGGACTTGAAGGCGATCAAGTGTAGTGCCTGTTATCGTATCTTAGCTATTCAAGACCCTCTATACCCCCTAAGGTAGAATCATGGCCTATAGGACTAATTTCCATATATTATTTTCATATATTCATATTTTTTTTTAATAATCTGAGTTACAAATTTGCTTTATATATTTGTTCTTATTCTCCATCTATATTATTCAGTTCTTTACCATAATTCAGTGTTTAGTTTCTGTGTCTGTCTGTCTGTCTGTCTGTCTCTCGGTCATCTGTTGGTTCTTGACGTGTTAGGTGGGTGTTGTGGGCGGTTCTGTGGGTGGTTCTGTGGGTGGTTCTGTGGGTGTTGTGGGCGGTTCTGTGGGTGTTGTGGGCGGTTCTGTGGGTGGTTCTGTATCCTGGTTTGTGTCGTTCTCTTGGTCTATATGGAGTTAGATAATAATTTGTATGTGAAGAAAATATTCGTTCTTTATCTGGTGAGTGTTGTTGTTGTTGTTGTTGTTGTTGTTGTTGGTTTGTTGTTAGTTGTTGTTGTTGTTGTTGTTGTTGATGTTGTTGTTGTTGTTGTTGTTGTTGTTGTTGTTGGTTTGTTGAGGAAGTTTATATTGTTGATACTGTAGGGTTATTAATGTTGTATTGTTGTAGTGTTGTAGTGTTGTTGATGTATTGATGTTAGAAATTAATACTATCATCAATGGGTTTTAGTATTGTATACCTTTATATGGGCCTTACCAAAAACAATATTCACAGTAAGTAAACGAAACTCACAAACGGCGGAGGTCTTAAGCTCTCACCCTGCAGTCATCAGGATATAGCAGGGTTAGTTGTTACTGCACTACACTACAACAAAACTGTTCACTTGGTCATTTTTGGAGGTGTAAGTAATTGTATTATTATTGACGATACTTAGTTAATCAAATATATCATAGTATCAGGTTAAGTAAACTTTATGGTGAGTTAATATTTGTGTCTAAGGTTACTGTTGTTAACTTGTGGTCTAACAGCCTTTAGTTATGGGATATAGTTTAGTGTGTAGTGTTACTTGTTGTGTCCGGAGAGAGAAAATAAACTTGAATATCTTGCATATTTATTCTTCTTAACATAATTCATAAATAATAATCACTTTCGTATGAACATGATAAACAGTGACCATAATCCACCAAACGGTACAAGTTGGTCTGTCGGACCTTCGGACCTGTGGACGCCGGTGACTGTCAGTCAGGCTCCTCAGAACCTGGCGGGTGTATTGTACAGGGTGTTGGGAGCCTGAACTGAGGCCTGAGCCTCTGGCACCCCGTAGGCTGTTGACAGTGACAAGTCGGAGGCGGAGCCGAAGATGTCCTCAGGCACTTTGCCGATCTCAGCGTTGAGGCCGAAGAACTGTTGTGAGGCGGCACAGTCCACGTTGAACCACCAGTCACACACGAAGTACTGCTGGTTGAAGATGGTGCCGTTGGGACACAGGAAGGAGTCCTGGCGGCCGTCGAACTGACAGATGTGGAAGACCTGGCAGCCGGCCTCGTCGGCGGTGTCAGCGAAGTAACCTGGGAACTCCTGTTGCTCGCAGGAGAAGCCGGTGTCGGGTACAGAGGCCAGGATCGGGTAGTCCTCACCAGGGACGCCGCCGCCGGGGATGAGGGCGGCCAGGGCGGCTATGGGGTCTTCTACAGCCTCGTCCAAGGAGGAGGCAGCCCCCTGCAGATCACCATAGGAGTATCCACCATTGGGAGCACCATAGCTGGTGGAGGGGGCGCCGCCGTTGAGGCGGGCGGCGTTGACTGCTGCCACTGAAACAAGAAAATGGATAAGTCGATGTTATATGATATTTAAAAGTTCACGCAACTGCCATGTAGTTATTGAATATTTCAGACATATTTTTTGCAGATACATTAATTAAATTTCAAACTTTCGTAAAAGTTAACACAAAACCCCGTTAGCGCACGGGGCTTTAGGCTGTGTATAACTCATGAGTGACGGTGATGACGTCATACCCAGGAGGAGGAGGAAGATGGGGTTCATGTTGGTGAGGAAGCTGGAGGTTGTGTGATGATGAGCTCAGGTCCTCCTGCTATATATATATAAGTCATGAAGCTCTGAGGCAGGCCAGGGAAAGTCCTGTTGGTGAGTCAAGGTCACCACGGCGGTCTGGTCATCTCTCACGACCCAGTCTGGTCACTAACAGGCCAGGTTGGTCAGTGTACAAGATGGACCAAAAAAGGTAAACGGGTTTTCTTACGGTACGAATTTCTTTAGTTTACGTTCACACAATCAGCTATTGAATACATTTATCGAGGAATTTAAGGGAAAAAAGCTTTACTCCATAAACTCCCTGACGATAAACAGTATACACATGATTTTATTAGCCAAGAGAGAGGACATTTCTCACCCCCCCATAGTACCTCACTCACCTGACCTCATCACTGATTGCAATTTCAGATTACAGACTCACCTGACGCCACTGATGAGCAGGTGTACCCGAGGAAGTCACGCTCCCTCTCTGGTCATCCCTGTAACCTAACCTAACCTAACCTAACCCCGGCATTATAGGTGATTGGTATAGTTGTTTCATATTAAGAGAATAACAACAGCCAATCTTATATAGGTATATGTTAAGTATATATGATTTAACTCTTCATGATGTATCTAATTCAGTAATGAAATACAAGAATATTCTAAGTTAATATCATGTTTGTAATACGGAATTATTCACCACTTTCCCTCCTTATTTAATATTTCTTACACTCAAATCATAACATTAAGAACAAAAACATGTTTCTAGCGCACATTAGTAAAACATGTTTCTAGCGCATATCATCTCCAGCTGGCTCAGTCCCTTCCACCAGCGTACCTCAGGGAGTCTGCTTGGGTCCTATTGTCTTTCTCAGTGATACGAATTCACCATTTATTTTATTTTTAAGTTTTAAGATGTTGACGATTTAAGACAATTTTATTTTTTTTTACGTTGGCGACATTAAACTACTGTATATAATTGAGTAGAGTTTACTTAAATTTAGCTAACTGTCTGTCTGTCTGTCTGTCTGTCTGTTGTCTGTCTGTCTGTCTGTCTGTCTGTCTCACTTTACCATAACCACCTACAATCATTAACTCTAACCTTAAGTAAGACAACATCTAAACAGGTGAGAGTGGTGGTTATTGCCTCAGTGTGTTTGGAGATGATTGGTTGTGTTTACATTGACCAACTGAGAGACTTTACCTGCCGACCATACCTGACCTGCATACCTGAACGAACATCACTTCTACACACACACACACACACACACACACACCTTATGGTATATTATATAACAGATGTGTTGTTGTTGCTGTTGTTATTGTTCGTGTTGTTGTTGTTCTTGTTGTTCTTGTTCTTCTTCTTGTTCTTTAATACACTCTAATATTCTTAAGTACTTTACCTGTTTCATGAGTGTAGAGGAAATTCACCTTTAATTAGTGGGTGGGGAGGCAGGTGGGTGGAGAGGCAGGTGTCTGGAGGAGGGAGACGGGAGAGAGAGGGTAAGGGGGATAGGGTCACACATACACACCTGGACCAGAAGGTGACACAGAAGGAAGTGGTTAATTACTCCTTCACCGCCTCCTTCGTGACACCTGCTACCATGACCTTCTTCAGGTAGTAACAAATGGATGACTTACCTGGTCTTTGCTATCACCATTACGACTACCATCACCACACCTTGTATACCTGTGTTGTTAATTGCCATCTTTGTAATTATCGGTATTGTTATCATCATTAATCATCATCACCTGTTCTCACCTGCACAATACGACGACAGAGCCAAATAACAGAACTTATTAACCCCATTTTCTACCCCACAATACAATGAGTGAGATTAAGTATGTGTCGGGGAGGGGATACGATCAGAAAACGTATGACCGTGGGGTACTCGTCACGCTTCTCACGCCAATACCTTGTTGGACGCTTGGCACTTGTTATCTTACGTTGCAACAGAGTTTTAAAAAATACGATATTCTGCATTGAAGGCACTTGATAATGAACTTATTCACTTGATATGTAATGAAAAATAATGTTTAGTTAATCTCTGTAGTGACTAAGGGAGTTCTGAATGCACCTATCTAGTTAAATTCCTCTAAAAACACAAAAAAATAATTAAACTATACCACCAGACTGACTCTAAGATTATCACTATATTAAAGACTTTCACTTAGCTTCAGTTAAGAGGGCAGATTAACACAGGAACTTTAGGAAAAACTTAATAGTGTTTTTGTCTTCACGAACGATCCTCAATGAATCCGGATTTGAGTTGTTTCTATTTGGTTTCGTCATTCAGGTGTTTTTTTATAATCAACTAATAATTAAATCAGTTTATTCTTCTTTCCCTCGTAGTTTTAGTTATTTCTTTGCTTTATATTTCCTTAAGTATTTTATATCATGATAATATATAATAAGACGGGGTATTGTATAGCAAAATAAGACCAGATACACCAGTGATTAATAAAAGGTGGGTATTTTGGATATTTTCCTTAGGGTAAAAATAATATATATATTTTTTAAGTAATTTCCATATAATTCCACATTTTTTCTCAATCAGGTCAATCAGGTAACTAATTAAGGCATTTAAAGGTTCAGTTCATTATAAGGTATCAAGGTTTACTATAGGCTGAAGAGGGGTAATTTTCTCCTTTGATTAATTAAAGGAACAGATAAATTGAGTTCATGATCAGATGTCATGTTGGTGTAAGGTTAGGTTAGGTTAGGTTAGGTTACGTTAGGTTAGGTTGGGTTAGGTTAGGTTAGGTTACGTTAGGTTCCACATTCTTATCTTTTTACAAATACTTTTCCATTCACGGATAGGTAGAGTCACGGAGGCCTATGAAAGGATAGAAAAAAGATAGACATTATTAACTAGTCTTATAGATAGGATAGATTGGCTATTTTTTTTTGAAGGAACTTGTCCTATTAAAGTGAAAAATCGTGAGAAGGTAAATAGTGCTATTATTTTATAGTAGAGAGAAAGAGAGAGAGAGAGAGATTACCACGACCTAACCAGCCTTGAGATGCTAACAGCCCTGTAGTGAGTGTATGATAGACGTGAATACAGTACCACCTCACCTCAACCTCACCTCACCTCAACCTCACCTCACCTCAACCTCACCTCACCTCACCTCACCTCAACCTCACCTCACCAGGGAGATGTACTGACCTGGAGATAATAATTTACCGTATAAAAACACAATCTAAATACACTGACATAATATTACACTAATTAATCTCATATAATACAAATAATACCACAGTAATTAGTCTTCATAATTACCTATACTGTAATTACATCATTGCTCATAGTGTAATTAAATCAAGCTTTTTCAAAATAACACTTAATACATAATGCTTTGGGACTTGGTGTTAAGATTCACTTATCAACGACAGAAATACCGTGACGTGTATCTGTTAAGTCCAGATGAAATGGGAAATTTTTTAATTCACATTTTACAGGATTTTCATGAGTGAGGCATTATTGGTAAGGCATGATTGGTAAGGCATGATTGGTAAAGCATGATTGGTGAGGCAACACTCTTGAGATGAGGCAGTAGTGAAGATGTGTTTCTTGGGACTGATATAATGTTAATTCTCTTTCTATCAGATCAACTTTGCATTTTTTTAACATGAAGAAGAATATGGTGTTCCTTACCTGTGTTCCTTACCTGTGTTCCTTACCTGTGTTCCTTACCTGTGTTCCTTACCTGTGTTCCTTACCTGTGTTCCTTACCCGTGTTCCTTACCTGTGCTCCTTCAGTCTTCAGTATAAATGCTCCTTCAGTCCTCAGTATAAATGCTCCTTCAGTCCTCAGTATAAATGCTCCTCCAGTCCTCAGTATAAATGCTCCTTCAGTCCTCAGTATAAATGCTCCTTCAGTCTTCAGTATAAATGCTCCTCCAGTCCTCAGTATAAATGCTCCTTCAGTCTTCAGTATAAATGCTCCTTCAGTCTTCAGTATAAATGCTCCTCCAGTCCTCAGTATAAATGCTCCTCCAGTCCTCAGTGTAAATGCTCCTTCAGTGTTCAAGGCTCTATTACGTCAGCGGTGGTACAGTATATTAGACTACGTGTTGGTCAGGTCCTTGTAAGGGGCCAAGGATGAGAAGCGTCGGGTAGGATTTTGTAGTGGTCTGAGTCTCTACGCAGGTGTATAAGTACGTAGGGATTGCGTAGAATGAGTAGGATTGAGTAAGGATTGCGTAGAATGAGTTAGATTGAGAAGGGATTGCGTAGAATGAGTAGGATTGAGTAAGGATTGCGTAGAATGAGTTAGATTGAGAAGGGATTGCGTAGAATGAGTTAGATTGAGAAGGGATTGCGTAGAATGAGTTAGATTGAGAAGGGATTGCGTAAGAATGAGTAGGATTGAGTAAGGATTGCGTAGAATGAGTTAGATTGAGAAAAGATTGCGTAGAATGAGTTAGATTGAGAAGGGATTGCGTAGAATGAGTTAGATTGAGAAGGGATTGCGTAAGAATGAGTAGGATTGAGTAAGGATTGCGTAGAATGAGTTAGATTGAGAAGGGATTGCGTAAAATGAGTTAGATTGAGAAGGGATTGCGTAGAATAAGATTAAGAACCTACGAGGGATTGAGTACCGTAAGAACACTATGAAACTAATACCTATAAATGAACTAAAACTCGGAGTTTGGCGTATATGTAAAATACGCAACAATTGGACGTACCGCTGCGTAAAAGATTTCTCAAACACACACGAATGCACTGTACAGATTAGGTCAAATATGTTCCTACACCTTTTATCTGGTAACAACATGAGGCTTCAGAAATAAAATTATATAAAAAGTAAAAAAAAAAATACTCGTTCAAAATATTATATCATATATTTATATAGATGATAATATTTCGATCACATATATAATACGTAAATATTTATCTAAAGCCCTATATTACTAAGACTATCGAAGGGAGGAATATTACTGGAAATATTCTAAGTAAATATTCCCCCTTTGAGAGTTAAATAGGTTAACTTAGAGCCTAATGAAGAAGAGATATATAAAATAACACTAAAAAGAAACTTAAAATAAATTATCG